CCCTTCCTCTCTTTCTGCCTCCGTCCTTCCTTCGTCCCTCCTTCCTTCCTCCCTCCTGCCCTGCCTGTTCCCTGCCTTCCGTCCCTGCCTTCCTCTGCCTCTCCCTCCACTCCCGAATGTCCATTCCCACTTGCCACTGTCCCACTTTGAGGAGCCTCTATCCCGTTGTGTCCTCCCTCAGAGCAGCTGTTTCTAACACCTCCCTGCTGCTGCTGCGGTGGGGGGACCCCCAGTGCCACTTTACTTTTTTTTTTTATTATTTTTTGTCTCTTTGAACCTCCCATTTCAGATGAGCTGAAGACCTAGGGGCAAGCAGAGAACCCAGCCCAGGCCTGCAGAGCGTCCTGACCGCACTTGTTTATCTGCTAAGACGCAGCCTTAAAGCAAACCCCTCCATCGACCGCTCCCCTCACCCCGCTGGCGAATGACCACCATGATGGGATTGTGGCCCCCGTGGCAGATTGCCTGCCTGTGGTTTCATGTGCTTTTCCTTTCTGGATGCATAGAGTCTCACTACATCAGATCTTATTGTAGTTCTGCACAGAAGCTTCAGAAAATGAAGAGAAACTCAGAAGTTTTCTTTTAAACTTAAAACCTAATAGAAACAGGGCAGTGACTTCCATGTTTTATGAGTTCTGTCCCCAAGTCCATCCCTGCCGAAGGAACAAGCTGGAGGCCGGGTTGGGCACGCTCTTCCCAGCAATGTCCTACGTGAAGCTCACTCACGTCATAAGGGTTGGACCTTCCAGGACAACGCGTGGCTTTGTAAATCTTCCACCTTTTCAGCCCTCGCCTTTTTAGGCTGCGTGCTCGCTCCGTCTCCCGTGGAGTCATTCTTAACTCTTTCTGTGGTCAGTGCTCCAAACAGCTGTACATCTCGATTCCTAGAAACACAAAATTGCTATGTTTAGGAATGGCCTAAAAGTCTCTGGGTCTTCACACTCCAAGGCCTATTGGGAATTGGTGGGTGGTCAGGTCCCTGTTCTCACATCTGTGCAGGCAGCCTCTGCGGCCTTTTCCTCGGATCCTCTGGTATCCCTGAAACACGCTCATTGAACCTGGATTTTCCTCCCATCTGCAAACTCCACCAACTTGTTTTTCCATGTAATTGATTTTAACTTTTCTTTCTCTTATTATTTCTTTTACTTTTCTTATTTTTTTTTTCTTTTTCTTCTATTTATTTAGTTATTTTGTTCTATGTTACTTTTTCTTCTTACTTTTCTTCGTTTTTTTTTTTCTTTTTTTTCTTTTCTTTTTTGAGATGGAATCTCGCTTTGTTGCCCAGGCTGGAGTACAGTGGTGCAGTCTTGGCTCACTGCAGCCTCTGCCTCCTGGGTTCAAGCGATTGTCCTGCCTCAGCCTCCTGACTTGCTGGGACTATAGGCGTGTGCCATCATGCCCGGCTGATTTTTGTATTTTAGTACAGACAGGTTTTCACCATGTTGGCCAGGCTGGTCTTGAACTCCTGACCTCAGATGATCTGCCTGCCTCAGCCTCCCAAAATGCTGGGATTACAGGTGTGAGCCACCACACCTGGCCTTTTTCTTTTTATTTCTTTTACTTTTCTTGTTTCTTATTTTTTTCTTTTTCTTTTATTTTTTCTGGTTTTCCTTTTATTTTCTTTTACTTACTTTTCTTTTTACTTTTATTTCTTCTCCGGTTTTTTTCTTTTCCTATTTCTTTGACTTTTTTCTTTTTCTTTTTTTTCCATAATCCTTTTACTTCTTTCTTATGTCTTTTACTTTTCTTATTTGCCCTCCTGTGGAAATGAGGCACCACCTCCCTTATGGGTGAGCAGTAGTTGCAGCTATGCATGGATGGTTTGATCCTCCTGTGCTCACCACTGTGTGGTGTGGGGGCACAGAACCCTGACCCATATGGGTGTGGTCATCTTCGCACAGTGGTCACCTCTACGGCCCCTACTCTTGAAAGGATGTCTCCCAAGGTGTCTCAGCTCTTACACAGTGAAAACTGCCTCCCAGTGACAGCAGTACGGATTCCAGAATGTCCTGTGTTTCCCAGAGTGTCTGACCTAACACAGCCTAAACATTAGCCACTGCTGGACAGTGATCCTCAGGGATATGGTCTCAGGATTGGCCCCAATGCATGGTGTCTGTGTATAAATACATATTCACAAAGCATAGGGACCCATTAAAGCCAACGGTTCTAATAGCTACAGAGGGTTTCTAGCCTGAAAGAAAAGCACCACAAATTTTTTGAAGTTGACTTGTCAAATGTGGCATGCTTGGTCTAACTTTTGATGGGAAGGGTGTGTGGGTGGAGGTGTATGGAGCATCTCATGAGACCGTTTCTCCTCCTGAGAGGTCCATGATGTTGGAACATTTGCACAGATGGACTTTGCCCTTGTGAGACTTTATGCTTTTCCCCTTCCTTCCTCCCTCCCTCCTTCCTTCCTTCCGAAAGAGTTTTGCTCTGTCGCCCAGGCTGGAGTACAGTGGTGCGATCTCACCTCACTGCAACCTCAGCCTCCCGAGTTCAAGCAGTTCTCCTGACTCAGCCTCCCCAGTAGCTGGGACTACAGGCATGTACCACCACGCCCAGCTAATTTTATGTATATTTAGTAGAGATGGGTTTCACCATGTTGGCCAGGACGGTCTCCACCTCTTGACTTGTGACCCACCCACCAGGAGTGAGCCACCACCTGGCCTGAGACTTTATACTTCTCAAAGGACTTTTTCCCTGTTTAGAAGTTGCCAGCTTTTATGTAGTGTTTTATAATAGCACAAGAATAAAAAGAATATCTTTTTGCTTTTTAACCACTGAGGAGGGAGGGAGAAATTCTTTGTCCTCTGAAATGAATGCAGGTTTTCCATTTCTAGCCAGGACAGTTTGCTCCCAAGTGCATCCATGTTGACAACTTGGCACCTGCAGAAGGAACGACATTCGGGGTGAACATTTTCAGGTCGTGTGGAATGTTCTCCTCTTTGGGGGTTTTTCCTCTCTCTTTTTTTCTTAAATCTTAGAACTTTGGCCGCTTTATGTGGGCAGCGTTTAGTGATGAGGAGAGAAGGGCTGCAGACCCCCACGTTCATGTCGTATAAATTCAGGGCACCCCCTGCTGCTGTCGTTATAAGTTACGCTGCTGCGCCATGCGGCCGTGTGAACCACAGACGGGGCTGTTTTACACATATAACCTTCTTGGCGAGGGGGATGCTCACGGCCACGGATTCCATGAGCTCCTGCTGTTTCCCTTCATGCTGAAAGCGTGAGTGTTCCTTCACACCAGCTCTGGAAAGAAATAAATGTCTATGGATCTGTGCCTCTCTTGCGCATTTCTAAGACTGTTGGCTTATCCTGTGCGTCGGAAGGGAAGCTGTGCCAACAGTGTGTGGGGAGACCAGCCTGTTTGCGCTGCGGCGTGTCTGAAACACTTTTACAAAGAAATGTGGAAATAGAAGCAGTACTGGGGAAACATGCTGGAGGAGGAAGAAAACCAGGTACATGAGACCCCTTGGCTCTCTTGACCTCTGATGGCCGGAGCAGCTCTTAGTGATCTGAGGCCTCTCTCCCCTCACTCTGCGTTCTGGGGAAGGTGGAAGGGAGGCTAGGAGAGCTGATTCAACCTCAGAAGGATGATCGGGGATCCAATCTGCTGAGATTCTCTGCATTTATTTATTTAAATTTTTATTTTTAAAATAAATAAATTTGTTTAAAATAAATATATTTATTTATTATTTAAAAAAATAAATAAATTTATTTATTGTTATTTAATAATAAATAAATTTATTTTAAATAAATAAATCTGTCACCCAGTCTGGAGTACAGTGGTGTGATCTTAGCTCACTGCAGCCTCTGCCTCCCAGGTTCAAACGACTCTCCTGCCTCAGCCTCTCTAGTAGCTGGGATTACACGTGCCCGTATTTTTAGTAGAGATGGGGTTTCACCATTTTGGCCAGGCTGATCTCGAACTCCTGACCTCAAGTGATTCACCTGCCTCAACCTCTCAAAGTGCTGGGATTACAGGCGCGAGCCTCCACACCCAGCCAACTGCATGTTTGATGAGTCAGGGGGCAGTTATAAGTCGGAATCATACTTTCATAGATGCATCTTGTTTTTTTTTTTTTTTGACAATGATGGCTTCCATGTGCCATTTCCTCAGAGTTTAGAGAGAGGAAAGAAACCCTGAAAATAGAGGAAAATAAAACTGCTTGTATTACTCTAGTGAAGTTCATCTCTGCCTGTACCGTCCATGATAAGATACTGTTGACCCAGCAATCCCATTACTGAGTATATACCCAGAGGATTGTAACTGATTCTACTATAAAGACACACACACATGTATGTTCATCAAGGCACTGTTCACAATAGCAAACACTTGGAACCAACCCAAATGCCCATCATTGATAGACTGGATAAAGAAAATGTGGCACATGGAATACTGTGCAGCCATAAAAAAGGATGAGTTCATGTCCTTTGCAGGAACATGGATGAAGCTGGAAACCATCATTCTCAGCAAACTGACACAAGAACAGAAAACCAAAAACTGCATGTTCTCACTCATTAGTGGAAGTTGAACAATGAGAACACACGGACACAGGGAGGGGAGCCACACACCGGGGCCTATTGGGGGTTGGGGGTTAGGGGAGGGATCGCAGGGGGTTGGGGGGACTGGGGAGGGAGAGCATTAGGAGAAATACCTAATGTAGATGACGGGTTGATGGGTGCAGCAAACCATCATGGCACGTGTATACCTGTGTAACACACCTGCACGTTATGCACATGTATCCCAGAACTTCAAGTAAAATAAGTAAATAAATAAGTAAAAACATATGCAGTGAGGCAAAAACAAAATACTGGCAAAGTCATCACTTAGGTGAGCGTTAGACTCAATGTTTCCAGTGGGTTTGGGGTTTAGGACTGATCACTCCAGCCCAAGCTCTAGGAGCATCAGTCTCAGGAAAGCCCGGGTGTCTGGTGTGCATTCTGAGTGGGTGCTCTGTTGCACTGAGCCTCTTTGCGTGTTTTCTTCTTGTTTTCAGCAGAACAAGGGGAGGTGGACATGGAGAGTCACCGGAACACCAGCGCAGAGCCAGCTGGTAAGGAGGACTCCTATTGTGTTTTCTCTACCTGCTCCCATCTTGCCGTTCTGCTCACGTTCTCAAAGTTGGTTGCTTGGCTTTGAATGTGTTCCTTCGTGTCTTGTTGCTTTCAAGGGATTCTTTCAAGAGACGATGAATGTATCAACTGCCTAGGGCCTGGGGCTCCAGAGAAGATGTATATGTGCCTAAGTCTCTCTTTAATAAAAGATTGAGGAAGTTTTCCCAGGAGTTTGAGACCAGCCTGGCCAACATGGTGAAACCTCATCTCTACTGAAAACACAAAATTAGCTGGGTGTGGTGGCGGGTACCTGTAATCCCAGCTACTCGGGAGGCTGAGGCAGGACAGTCACGTGAACCCAGGAGGCGCAGGTTGCGGGGAGCCAAGACCGTTGCCATTGCACTCCTGCCCCGGTGACACAGTGAGACTGTAGCACACCATTGGTGCATCATCAGGAAGTCCACAGCTGGCTCCTGTGCACCTCCTGAAATATTGCTTGTCAAGTTTCGCTGTAAACTGTTGTTTCGTTGGCAGAGACGGGGTCTCACTGTCGCCCAGGCTCAAGTGCAGTGGCATGACCGTAACCCATTGCAGCCTCAGCCTCCTGACCTGATTAGCTGGGACCACAGGCGTGCAGCACCATGCCTGGCCGATTTGTTTTTTTATTCTGTAGAGACAAGATCTCACCAGGTTGCCCAGATAGGGTCTCACTATTTTGGCCATCGTGAGTTCAACCGATCCTCCCACCTGGGCCTCCCAAAGTGCTGGGATCCCAGGCATAAACTAGCGCACCCAGCCTGCTGTCACTTTCTAAAAATCCTCCCAACCAGGTGGCAAACGTGGTCAAGAGGAGTCTCTTTAATTCGTGAGAAGCTTCTCAGGGTGAAAGGCAGGCATTTTGCCATCAGAACCACTTTTGAAAATGACAAGAAAGAAACGTATGTGTGTGTGTGTGTGTATATATATAAGCTGGAACCTTTTGCCTGAGAGATGCAGCATTTGTTTTTAATAGGAGCCATCAAATTGAGATGTATTTTTAATGAAATGATCTAAAGTATTCTAATTTGTGTGTGTGTGTGTGTGTGTGGAGATGGAGTCTCTCTCTGTCACCCAGGCTGGAGTGTAGTGGTGTGGTTTCGACTCACTGCAACCTCCGCCTCCCAGGTTCAAACAATTCTCCTGCCTCAGCCTCCTGAGTAGCTGGGACTACAGGCATGCGCCACCATGCCCCACTAATTTTCTTGGTATTTTTAATAGAGACGGGGCTTTCACCATGTTGGCCAGAGTTGTCTGTAACTCCTGACCTCAAGTGATCTGCCCACCTCGGCCTCACAAAGTGTCGGGATGACAGGCGTGAGCCACGGCACTTGGCCTTGAATTTTAAAGATAGAGACTTTTAGAAAGTTAGTGTCTCCCCAGGTGCGGCATTTCACATCATCCCAGCACTTCGGGAGGCTGAGAAGATCACCTGAGGTTGAGAGTTTGAGACTAGCCTGACCAACATGGAGAAACCAAGTCCTTACTTTAAAAAAAAAAAAAAAAAAATTAGCTGGGCATGGTGGTGCATGCCTGCAATTCCAGCTACTCAGGAGGCTGAGTCAGGAGAACCGCTTGGATCCAGGAGGCAGACGTTGCGGTGAGCTGAGATCAAGCCATTGCACTCCATCCTGGGCAGCAAGAGTGAAACTCCATCTCAAAAAAAAAAATTGATGTCTTGCTGACTGCTCTTTCAACTCGGGGAAAGATGTTTAGAACAAGCTATTATCTTTTTTTTTTTTTGAGACGGAGTTTCGCTCTTGTTACCCAGGCTGGAGTGCAATGGTGCGATCTCGACTCACCGCAACCTCCACCTCCTGGGTTCAGGCAATTCTCCTGCTTCAGCCTCCTGAGTAGCTGGGATTACAGGTGCATGCCACTGTGCCCAGCTAATTTCCATGTTGACCAGGATGGTCTCAATCTCTTGACCTCGTGATCCACCCGCCTTGGCCTCCCAAAGTGCTGGGATTACAGGCTTGAGCCACTGCACCACCGGGCCCAAGCTATTATCTTAAAGACAGAAGGAAGATTTCTTCTGCCCGTTGTAAGGACGTTGTCTAGCTTCCTTAGCAAGCACATTGATGTGTATGTGTGGGGCTCTTGTTACGCGAAGGGCTTTGCATTCCACTGTTTCCTGCCAGCCTATTTGGAAGAAAAATGCCGTTGTCTTTAATTCCTTCTTCCAAATCCCAGCTTCTCCCTTCAAAATAGTTTTAAGACTGACATGCAAAATAAGTTTCCAAAACTTAAATGAACAGACCAGAAAATCTCAGCCCTGTGTCTTTCAGATAGTAAAAAGTGCACACTGTCACTGAGAACATGTATTCTGCCATTCGGTAACTGACAGACATTTGTTACTGTCTCTGTGTTAGTGGAAAATGTCTTCCCTGGTTTTCCTTCTGCTTCTTCTGCAGTATCCATTTTTTTATTGTTGTTGTAGGCATGGCGTCGTTCAATGAAATTGATCGAATTGGTTGAGATTTAGGGTTTTGCTTTTTCATGACCTTTGGACCCATTTTTCTGATGCGGAAATAAAATCACTGGCTCCTGAAAGTTTTAGGAAGTTATGTTCACCTGAGTACTCAGGGAACTGGGAATGACTTTCTTTTCTCCCTGCTTCCCACAGTTCAGCGTACTCTTTTAGAGAAATAGAAGATTGTCAGCGGAAGCAGCCCAGCTGTTGGCAACAGGGTTAGGACACCTGCTGGAGGCTTCTCCCCAAAGAACAGCTGTTGGAGAGCAGAGACGGAGGCCTTCTGTTCACGGCGGATTCTTTGTTTTAATCTTGAGACGTTCTTTGCTTGTTGTCGCTGGGTGGATGTTGTTTACTAACGATTAATTTTACATCCAAATGGGGACAGGCCCCATTCTCCAAGACCCAGGGGGGTTTCCCATGCGATGTGAAAGGCTTGCCATTATTACGTCCCTATAAGTCAAATATCAACCGCACCGAGGCACCCTTAGCCGGAATCTCGCTTGTTTACAAATCAGGTGTGCATTGAGCACGTCTGAAACTCCCACGGTAGCCTTGACCTTTTTTTAATTAAAATAAGGTAAGCCCTTCAATTTGTTTCTTCAGTATTTCTTTTATTGGAGGACATTTCTTTTTCATGTCAGACTAATAAAAAGAAATTAGAAACCAAGTACTTTCTCTTACCTAAATGTTTTGCCGAGGACAGATGTTAAAGAAGGCTGTAGGCATTTAATGGGATGGGGGTTCCAAGTTCTCCTTTTCTGGGGCTTTAAGGCAGAATTTCAGCCTAACTGCCAGCTCTTTATTTCAAAAATTTCCTTTTAGGCCTCTTTTCCTTTTCCTGTCCTGCCACATCGGGACCAGTGCTCTTCTGCACCCAGGATACTCCAGCCAGATACTGTCCTCCATCCAGATACTCCCTGTTTCCAGATACTCTCCCTGCAGCTAGGTTACCCCCCAAGTCCAGATACTCCCTGTTTCTAGATACTCGTCTGAATCCAGGCAGTCCCTACAGCCAGATACTGTCCTCCATCCAGATACTCTCCCTGCATCCAGGTGCACCCCTGAGTCCAGGTGCTCCCTGCTTCCAGATACTCCTCTAAATCCTTGTGCTCCCTGCATCCAGATATGCTCCTCCATTCAGATTCTGGTTTGTAGCCATGTGCTCCCTGCATCCAGAGCTCCCCTACATTCTGGTACCCACCCCAAGTCCAGATACTCCCTGCTTCCAGTATCCCCCTGAATACACATATTCTCTGAATCTAGGTACTTCCTCATCCAGATACTCCTTGTATCCAGGCACTCTCCTCCATCCAGATACTCCCTCCCATCCAGATACTCTTCCTCCAACCAGATGTTCCCATCCAGATGCTCCCTTCTATTCTCTTCTCTAGCCACATACTCCCTTCCATCCAGTTACTCTATCCACATACTCCCTTCCTTCTAGATAGTTTCCTCCATCCAGATACTCCCTTTAGTTACTCCCTTCCATCCAGATACTCTCCTCGATCCAGATACTCTGATCCAGATACTCCCTTATATCCAGATCCTCCCTTCCATCCAGTTACTCTCCTCCATCCAGATACTCCCTGCATCTAGATGCTCCCTGTGTCCAGCTACCTTCTGTATCCAGGGTACCCTCTGAGTCCCTGCTTCCAGATAGTCCCCTGCATCCTGATACTCACCTGCACCCAGATACCCCCTTGTGTTCTCTTGAGTTTCATATGACTTAAATATCACAAATTTGCTAAGAGTCTGTCCAGTCTTCACACAGTGTTGAACTGCTTTGATGTAAAAGGTGGGTTGAATGTGGGGGTCACACAGCTTTGTGTCCAAGAAGACCCTCATACCCTTTCTAACAAGTTGGGATTAACTGTTCTCTTCTCTGTAACACTTGACAACTTTTCCACATTGAGAACTTGTTCCCCAGTGAGGGCAGTGCACACATTGCAATGCTTCCAAAATGCATGTGTGTCTATAAAAGCTTGGAGAGAGCTCCACTTGCCTTTTGTGCTAATCTTGTAAAGATCTAAAGTCCTGATATTCGGGATGGGATTGACTTCATCCATAGACTTCCCTCCACCAGAAAATTAGGGTATCTTCAGTTGTCTGCAGTGGCACAGGCAGGTTAACGTGAAGCTGTTACAACAGGCATCCAGAGAAAGACAGTTTCAAGGCAACGTTTCATCTTGTCACTAATGATGGTGTCGAGAGCTGCTGCATGTCACAGAGGCTAGGTTTCCCATGAATCTCTCTGCACAAAGGTATGGTGTTGCCATACCCATGTCAAAAGTCGTCTGATCTGGAGAAAGAGGTTGGATGAAGGGGTCAGTTATAAATGCTGGGCCTCTCCCATTTCCAAACTCAGAAATGCCTTCAATTTCAGTTCTGGGTGGGGGTCATCCAAGCAGTCTGCCTGCTGTTGAGAATTCGACACCTTTTCACATCCCGTCATTCTCAGGATATTGATGGGCACACTCAGCTGGCTCTCTCTGGCACTGGAGTTACCGCTTCTGATTTTGACATTCCTGATAACTTGGAGTGCATAAAACTGGGTGAGCACAATGACAGGAACTCCTTGGCTATTTATGTCACCCTTCCATTGCTTCTTTGAACAAATACCTATAGGATGTTACCTGTGGTTCAGGTGTGTGGAGATGACATTGTCGATTCTCTAGAATGTATTGACACATCACAAATGACTTACCCTCTCCACCCTTTGAGAGGGTCAACCAGGGATGTACATGTTTAATTGTTTATGGACACCAGACCATTCCCCATAGAAGGTTTGTAATGTAAATGCCCAAGACTTAAATGATGGCTCACATCTGTCTCCTGAGAGTACAAACTTTCTGATTATTGCCAACATCGTTGAAAAATGATATCACATGGACTATCTTACATTGTAGCTCTCTTATCTTGAGTGAGAATCCATGTGTTGAAAATTATCTGTGTTCCATTTCTGGAAAACATTTGAATTGCCCTTTGTTTTTATATGCGTGATGGGTCCTTTTCTTATTGGTCTACAGGGACCGTTTACATATGTAAGGTAGGTAGTGCCCTTAGTGACATAGGTGGCACAGAGGCTTTTACACTTAATTCTTGGCCTGTTGAATCTTTGACAGCTGAAGGGTGGGTGGACCAGCATGCCTGAACACTTTGCGGAATGACCAACCACTTGTTATAAAGTTAGAGGGTGGTGTTTCTAGCTCTCCCCAATGAATCATCGAGAATTGTCTTTGAGGTCAGATTTTTCACACTGACCAGCTTTATAATAATAAAAAGAAAAAATACATTAAATTTGTTGTCGTTCTGTGAATAACATTGGCATTTTTGTAAGTATTGTAATCATACTACCCACAGAAATATTAAACAAGAAGCAGAACGGTAAAAAGAATAGTAAAAAAAAAAAAAAAGTATTTTTTATATATGTCAAATTAGGGCTTACTTACAAATAAATCTATACTTCCAAGAAATGTGTCAACGCTTACTTTTTAATGGAGGGGGGGATGTCTGTCTTTGTAGATGATTCATTTTCATTCCTCATGGACATAAAATAAACAGAACTTTATTGAAGGTGGGTTGTTGGAAAAATAGAGTGTAAATTATGTGGCTTGTTAGATCATTAAATCCTGGGTAGAACAACTGCTTGTTTCATTGTTTTGGAACTTCCATGTAAAGAAAGTCCAGTGATTTTGAGAATGATGATTAAAAAGTTATGTGAGGGCTGGTCTGGGCTCGATGGCTCACACCTGTAATCCCAGCACTTTGGGAGGCCTTGGCAGGCAGATGACTTGAGGCCAGGAGTTAGAGACTAGCCTGGCCAACGTGTCAAAACCCCAGCTCTACTGCAAATACAAAAATGGTGGCGCGCACCTGTAGTCCCAGCTACTTTGGGAGGCTGAGGCAGGAGAATCTTGTAAACCTAGGAGGCGGAGGTTGCAGTGAACTGGGATTGCCCCACTGCACACTCAGCCTGGGTGACAGAGTAAGATTGTCTCAAAAAAAAAAAAAAAGGCGTTTAAGGCCTAACAGAACATAGAATAAAATACTTTATAAATTTCCCAAATAATAGTATTTGGAATAGTATGGTACTTGGTATCAGAGCCAATCTCTAACTTCTTACGGAGAGAAATTTTTCTGTGGTTTATTCTGCAAGTGTTTACTGAGCCTCTGTACACGCTGGGCAGTGTCAGTCAACAAAAAGACCCTTGGCTCGTTCATTCTTTTTAACAAGGCAGAGGATGCATTGCAATCCGGGCCACGTAAGCTGTGGTCAGGTGTTTACTGTCGGGGAAATGCTGCCATGACCATTGTGGGCAGCACATGATTGTGAGCTCAGGTAAGTGAATAAGGTAGCTTTATGTAGCTATATATACATGTCGTACTTTAGGTTCTGGGGTACACGTGCAGATCATGTAGGATTGTTGCATAGATACATGTGTGGCAAAGTGGTTTGCTGCCTCCATCCCCCCGTCACCTTTATCTGGCATTTCTCCCCATGTTATCCCTCCCCAACCTCCCCAACCCCCACTCTCCCTCCTCTATTTCCCCCCAACAGACCCCAGTGTGTGATGCTCCCCTCCCTGTGTCCATGTGTTCTCACTGTTTAACACCTGCCTATGAGTGAGAACATGCAGTGTTTGATTTTCTGTTCTTGTGTCAGTTTGCTGAGAATGATGGTTTCCAGTTTCATTCGTGTCCCTACAAAAGACACGAACTCATCATTTTTTATGGCTGCATAGTATTCCATGGTGTAGATGTGCCACATTTTCCCTGTCCAGTCTATCATTGATGGGCATTTGAGTTGGTTCCCGATCTTTGCTATTGTAAGCTGCAATGAACATACGTGTGCTGTGTCTTTATAACAGAATGATTTATCATCCTTTGGATATATACCCAGTAATGGGATTGCTGGGTCAAATGGAATTTCTATTTCCTTTGGATATATACCCAGTAATGGGATTGCTGGGTCAAATGGAATTTCTATTTCCTTTGGATATATACCCAGTAATGGGATTGCTGGGTCAAATGGAATTTCTATTTCCTTTGGATATATACCCAGTAATGGGATTGCTGGGTCAAATGGAATTTCTATTTCCAGGTCCTTGAGGAATCGCCACACTGTCTTCCACAATGGTTGAACTAATTTAGCTTTCTTAGGTAGAAAAGTGTTGCATGTTTGATTGTTCATGGACACTGTCAAACCACTCCCCCTAGACATTGTGCAAATTCACAGGATTTGAATGATGCCTCATATCTGTTTCCTAGGAGCACTGAAAACTTCCTGATCATGGCCAATCTCTCAGGTGAAAAATGATATCCAGTCTGCATTTCTCTTATCTTGAGTGAGGTTGAGAATCCATGTGTTCAGAAGCCATTTGCATTCGGTTTCCAGAAACCAGTTGAACTGTACTTTGTTCATTTTTTATGTTGTCAGTCCAATTCTTATTTATCTATAGGAACTCTTTACATATGAAAGATCGTGCCTTTAGTGAAGTCGAGAGCAAATTCGCTTTTTCACTCTATCCTTACCTTTTGAATCTTTAAGTGGCATTTTATTTTTCATTCTAGTGTTACTATTTTTATGTGTTAAATTAATGGTTTCTGGTCTTCTGTAATATTTAGAGCAGCTTTGTCCACACTCAACATTATTGAAAAAAAGGAACA